AATCTGTTTTAATAAAATAGTACTTATTAGATAATGTACGGAAATCTTCTTTAACTCCATACCATTTTCCTTTTCCATCATAAAACTCGATTCCATTTGGTATATTTTTATAAATCAGGATAGTTTTGTTTTGCTTTATACTAGGTCCTATCTCTGGGTCGACTGCCTCTCTCGGCTGGGTTGGCTGAAACATTGGTGGGTTTTCATCGAATAATATGAGATCGCTTTCGGGGGCTGGTGGCAGATTTTGCTCTGGAGTAACGTTTCTTGCATTTTGCACTGGAATTGGAGCTTGAGGAAGATTCTTAGGGCGGCAAGGATTTTGTCGATTTAAATGTTGTTGATATTTCTGATAAGTGGAAAGTTTTAGACTACATCTATCACAAGTAGTATTTTTAACCATCGTGTATAAAAAGTATTATATATTACTTTATAAAAATCTTTTCTTTAATTATTTATTTATCCTAATCAAATATGATCGGTGAATATACCTGCCAATATATACATAATTCTGGTAAAATTTGTAGTGCTTTGTGTACACGTCCTGAGGGATGCCGTCTTCATTATAAGTCAAAAAAACGTGTACTTTGTAGTAATTGTGGAAAACCAACTGCTTCTGCTTGTGGACGATGTAAAATTCATAAAAGAGGATATTATGTTGCGTCATATTATCAAAGGCTTCGTGAAAAAGCTTTAGAGCAAAGCTCATACCAAGCATAGAAAATTATATCAGAATTTTTGGTTTAATTAGTGTACCTATGACGTAGTCTATTTCTTTTTTACTATTTGTATGCTAACTAAATAGAAACTATGCTCTGCTACGTTATGCTATACTTACAGTAATAGAAAGCTATCAGGAATAAGATAAAAAGCTTAAATCTTTAGAAATGATTAGAGATAACGAAAAATTTAACCAAGTGTGTACCTAAAATTTTATCTATCTTTTTTATTGAAAAAATACACTATTCATATGAGTTATATAAGTTTACCAGGAATATAGTAAAAAATCGGAAACTATAGAGGAATGAATAGAGTTTTCTGAAATTTAACCAAAATTGTTCTAAAAAAAGTGCCACAAACCTATTACTAAATAGAAAGCTAAATACTAACCAAATAGATAACTATGCTCTGCTTCGCTCTGCAACTGCATCGCTATGCTTCTTAGTATTAGAAAGCTAATTGTGAACTAAACAGATATCTAATGCTCTGCTTCGCTTCGCAACTGCGTCGCCATGCTTCTCCGTATCAGAAAACGTTTTAGTAATCAAATATGATAGCAAATATTTGGTTAAATTTGGTGAATTTTGGTTAAAAAACGAATTATATATATGTTTATATAAAGGTTACCAGGAATAATGTAAAAACCTTAAAAACTATAGAAATAGACTAGAGTTAACCAAAAATCACCGAGCGTGTACCCAAAAAGCCCACAATTCTACTACTCCAATTCTTCAGTTTAATCTGAATCTATTTTGTAACACTATCAAAAATTCTCATTACTTTTTTGCTTGGATTTTGCCAAGCTAGTTCTAGATTTTCAAGTTTTCTTTGTTGGTTTTATATAATTTTAAAAGTCTTATTATACATTTACACTATCTAAACTAATTTGCATTTCTTTGCATAACACAGATGCGTCCAGAATCTTTACAAGTAATAGAACTTGACTTATCAATGAAGACTTATTACTATAATATAAGTATTTTTGTTCAAATTGTTACCAGTAGAATTCAAACTTAGTATTATAGTCAAGCTAGCTTAGGGGTGCAGCTAAACAAGATTATTAAAATACAAAGTTATAATTATTTAATGACATTTTGAGAATAATAACATTTTAGTATTATTATTAATAAAATTATATAAAATATTATAATTCTCAAAATTTTACTAATTTGTACTTTAAGTAAACTAGTACTCCACAAAATCAAATCAAAATTTGAATTTGAATCAACTATTTGAAAATATTTGATCAAATTTTTTAAAAATTTGATCAAATATTTTCAAATAATTGATTCAAATTCAAATTTTAATTTGATTTTGTGGAGTACTAAAGTAAACTTGTTTAGCACTAAAATATATATATATATATTATTTTTATTTATAAAAATAGATATAATAATTTAATTTTTAGCAAATTAATATAAATAAATATATATAGTTAAACCTTGATATAATTACCAGCTTGGAAAACAAGAATCCAGTAATTATAAAAAGTTGTGACTATATAAAAGTCAAATTTTATATGTTTTATATTAGCTCAAGTTAAAAAATAGCGTGATTATAACAAGGTTATGATTATCTCAAAGGTGACTATAATGAGATCTGGCTGTAATAATCAAATTTTTAGCAAATTTACTTGATTATTTTATATTGTATTATATATTTATACTGTATATAAATAATAATAATTTTCAAAATAGCCTATATGCTAAAAAAAAAAAAAAGAACCAATTTGTCAATTTTTTAAATTTTTTTTAAACCTAATCAATCCAAAATTAGATTAAAAACATTTTTCATTTAAAAAAGAAATGCCATTGTATTAATAAAATTTACAATATAATTTGTATTTTCTTATAAAGTATTAATATAGATTTTATAATATAAAAATCCTTTTTCTTAGCACTAACCCAAATAGTGACATAAATTTTCTATTTCAAGTTTGCTTTGTGAATCTTTTTATATATAATAGCTTTTGTAATTATGGAAAACCTTTTGTAAAATATATATCTATTCAAAATCAAATAAAAAATTTGAATATTTGTAAAATGGGCTCTTTTAATACGTAACACCCTTATAAAACATCAATCTAAAAAAAATTGCATAGAATTTTTTTTTATTAAATAAACTACGTTAGTTTATTCAAACTTTTGAGATAAATGTGACACAAATTTTGACAAAATCGAGAAAAATTAAAGGAAGTAAAAAAATAATGGATTTATGCATACAATACTTAGTAAACTATTAAGAAAGGGAAAGCTAGAAAAGTAGTAACAATATGAATATTAGAAATGGCAATTTATAAGAATTGGATTATTTAAATGAAGATTTCGGTTCGACGAAACATTAAATGTTGATGTAGATGATGGCCGGTATATACTTGCTGGCAAAACCCGGACAAATTCCAAATAATAAAAAAACAATTGCTATTTATAAAAGATTAAATCAAATA